TTTCGACTCCTGATTTAGCTCGTGATTTAACTCCTGAGGTATTCACTTTACTGAATAGTAACAAAGGTTCTACGAGGAAAAAAGCTATTGCTATTATTTTGAGACTATTCGAGTTGTATCCAGATGCGGTTAGGGTTTGTTTTAAGAGATTAGTTGAAAATTTGGAGAATTCTGATCCGGCTATTGTATCTGCTGTTGTTGGTGTTTTTTGTGAGCTTGCTAGCAAAGAACCGAAATCTTATCTCCCGTTAGCACCCGAATTTTATAAGATATTGGTTGATTCGCGGAATAATTGGCTGTTGATTAAAGTTCTGAAGATTTTTGTGAAGTTGGCTCCATTGGAGCCGAGGTTGGGGAAAAGGCTGGTGGAGCCAATCTGCGATCATTTGAGGAGAACGGGTGCAAAGTCATTGTCTTTTGAATGCGTGAGGACTATTGTTAGTAGTTTCAGTGAGTATGACTCTGCTGTAAAGCTTTCTGTTGAGAAGATTAGGGAGTTTTTGAATGATGATGATCCGAATCTCAAGTATCTCGGTTTGCAAGCACTTACCATTGTTGCGTCCAAGCATTTGTGGGCAGTTATGGAGAATAAGGATTTTGTGATTAAATCGTTAAGTGATGCGGATGCAAATATTAAACTTGAAGCCTTGCAGCTTGTCATGGCCATGGTTTCCGAGGATAATGTGGCGGAAATTTGCAGGGTTTTGATCAATTATGCTCTTAAGTCAGACCCAGAGTTCTGTAATGAAATTCTGGGGTGCATCTTGTTGACTTGTTCAAGGAATGTGTATGAGATAATTGTGGATTTTGATTGGTATGTATCACTTCTTGGGGAAATGTCGAGAATTCTGCACTGTCAGAAGGGGGAGGAGATAGAGAACCAGCTTGTGGATATAGGTATGAGAGTCAAAGATGCAAGACCAGAACTTGTTCGAGTTGGCCGTGATTTGCTAATTGATCCTGCGTTGCTTGGCAATCCTTTCATACATCCGATTTTATCAGCAGCAGCTTGGGTGTCAGGGGAGTATGTTCGATTTTCCAAAAACCCATTGGAAATTATGGAATCACTGTTGCAACCAAGAACCAGTTTATTGCCGCCATCAATAAAAGCAGTATATATCCAGTCTGCATTTAAAGTACTTACCTTTTATTTGCATTATGCTATTTCTACCAAGGAAGTTATTTCTTCAGCTTCCCAAGGAGTGGCAGATATAATGCATGGAGCAGTACAAGAGAGTTCTCAGTTTGTAAGAGCTGGATTGGTTGCTGAAAGTGACTCAGATGACGGGGGTTTGAATCACAGGATGTTACATCGACCTGTTAGGGATGTTTCAGTAGAGAGTTTTGAGGATATGGCTGTTGCTCATGACTGGTTGTCCTCAACTTCCTTCAAGGGGGAGCCAATCACTGAAGAATCTATTATTAACATATTAAATCTTGTAGAAACAACGCTGGGACCACTAGCAGGGAGCCATGAGGTGGAGATACTGGAGAGGTCAAGAAATGTCCTTGGTTTGGTTGAATTGGTAAGAGAAGAATTACCTGGTTACTTGGTGAAAAGGGAAGAAGATAATGACAAGGGACAAAGGAAGACTCATGAAATGATCAAATTAATTGCTGAAGCCTTTTCGGAAGAGCTCGGTCCAGTTTCAGCAAGTTCTCAGGAAAGGGTACCAATACCTGAAGGAATTGTGCTTAATCAAAGTCTGAATGATCTGGATGCCATATGTGGTGACTTTGAGTTGCATATAACTACTTCTTTCTCCCTTGGAAAATCAATTTCCTCCGAAAAGGATGATGTTACCATGTCTGATCGGCAAGGTAAGGAAGAATTTGAATCAACTGAATCAACATCTCTACTTGCAGCGCATCGCAAACGCCATGGGCTATACTATTTACAGTCACAGAAAAAGGAAACGATAAATGATGAATACCCACCTGCTAATGACCTCAAGACTGGAGAGAATGGTGATGACAAGGCTGATGATCTTATTAAGCTGACAGAACAATCCCTCTTCCCTAAGAAAAAGACAAACCAGGCAAAGCCTAGGCCTGTAGTAGTCAAACTGGATGATGGAGATGGACCTTTTATCCCCGCAAAGAAGGTAGATTCCAAAGATGACTTAATCTCTGGTGCTGTGAGAGATGTTCTTTTCGGTGATGAAGCCACGGCATCATCATCACGAACTAAGAAGTCTGACAAGTCATCTAGTAAGAGAAGACAGAAGGACAAGTTAGATATAGACAAGTCTTCCGGACCAAAAGAGGATACTAAATTTATGGAGAACTCTGAACTAGAAAATGCAAATTTGAGAAGAAGCAAACGCCATTCTCGTGGTAAAGAGAAGAAACATAGAAGTAATGCAAAAGATAGAGATGAACATGAAGAGGGAGATAAGCAGAAGGTTAGCCATCATCATGGCAAGCATAAATCCCGACAAAGGGCAGAAGGGGCTCTAACATTAGCAGCACAATCACCTGTTATTCCTGATTTTCTTTTGTAGCAATGGAAGCTGGGATCTTGATTATGAATATGATATATTTGATCAATACGGCTTAGGTGAGTTCTTCTGTACATTACACTTCATTTTTTCGCTGTTTTAGTTACTCATTACACTTGCAATTGGTGAAGTGGTTTTTCTCCATCTTTTCTGATTTTTACCGTGTGAAATTTCATTTGGAAAGGTTATATTCTTTTGTTCTTAACACTTGTACAAGGAAACCCTTATAAGGCCTTGACTGGTTATGATCCTCTGGTTCTATTTGTTTTTGTATTCGATCTCATCTATGTATACATGCATGGAGACACATATTTTGCTAATTTGATGAAAGGTAAAAAGACAGGCAACTAAGACCTTTCCAAATAACTGTCCCCAAAAAATGATATAAAGACTGATAAGAATATAAAAGGGCTAATATACTATAGGAAAAGCTAAAGGATTTGTTCAATAAATACAGAGGGAATCTCCTATAGTTGGTGTATAAGATATGATGCTTGTGAATTTGTTATCATGATGCCAATACACGCTTGGTGAGAGTTCATGATGATGGGAAAAATTTGTGTACAAGTTGAAGGATTTGGGGGAAATATTCTTTTGACATTGCGGAACCTAAGAATTAGCTGCTTGTAGGGAGTGCTGTAAATTGGTACTAAAACTCACAAAACCAGTTCCTTGAGCAACTGCACCAATTAAAAAGAAGTTCCTTCAGCAAATGAGTTATGCCCTTTAATTAAGAAAAAACCAACACGAGCAACAGTTGCTTTGGTTGTAGAGCATCTCCACCACCAAGTAGATTCTGCTCATGTGGAGGGTAAGTGGGAACACTGTGATCCTTGTGGAAGATGGGGAGCGGGGGTGCCAAAAAAAAGAGAAAGAAACCAATACACAAGCAGTCCCCTCTAAATAACTGAAACCATTATTTGTTGTCTTATTTTTGATAACTTTCTGGATCGCGTTAGCTGTCTCTTGCATTCTAACCTTCTAAAAAACTACCACAGATGGATTTTGTACTGCCATAACTAACACATTATGGAAATTGTATGCGTTCATTTGCTGTCATATTAGACTTCCACCTCAGTTAGGAGTTTCTGTTGTGTAACAGCTGCGAACTCCATTGAACTGGTTGAGCACATTGAGGGAGGTTATACTGACTCAATTTTTTGCTAATTACTTGTATTCTGCTAGCATGGAAAACTTCTTCCATTGTTTTGTAGCCATGAGTGAATCTATGTTGCTGCAGAAAGATGCAGTAGATATCTTAAAAGATAAAAAGGAAATATCTTGGTGGGTGACACACGGCACAAAGAATCACATTATTGAACTTGTGACGGTAGAGCTC